TGCACCGGCATTCAGTAATATTTCAGCTACTTCTGTATGTCCACTTTCACAAGCGTAACCCAATGCTAATTATAATCAAATAGTTTTTTTTTTATTTGTATTATAATATCAAAAAATCTATAGTACCTGTATCACCAGCTCGAGTTGTTTGATTAACATTTGCACCTATAAAAAGATAAACAAGCGATTATAATTAACAGATGCAAAAAAAATAAAAAGACAATAATACCATTTTCTATTAAGTATTGAACAAGTTCAATATGTCCTTCTTGTGATGCTTCCATAAGTGGTGTTGATTGACCCAAATTTATGTCAGCTCCATTCGATAGAAGAATTTTCACCACTTCTAAAAATCCACCAGCACATGCCAATGTTACTAAATAAATATATAAAAAATAGTATTAAGAAATATATACATAGTTCCTGTTCGAATCCTATTGAATAATGTTTTCTTCACTGACAATTTTCATTATCGAAAATTCTATTCTATTACACAAGAAATACTTACATGCAGTTTCTTGTGCTTCTTCAGTTGTTCGATTAACTTTAGCTCCTAAAATTAAATTCTTTCTTTTTAGAAATTCATTTCAATAAATTAAAACAAAAAACTACCTTTTGAAACAAGTAAATTCACAATTTCATCATGTCCTTCTCTACTTGCTAAAAAAAACAACATTCCAATTAAAAACTATTTCTAACAATTTCTAAACTATTCCAACCTTCCATTAATGGTGTATAACCTTCATCATTAACCTCTTCTAAATTTGCTCCACGTTCAATAAGTAATGAAGCAAGTTCAAAATGACCACCACATGCACTCAATGTTAATGGACTTTCATAACTATCTGGTGGCATATTAACATCAGCACCATGATCAAGTAATAATTTTGCTACTTGAACATGACCATCCATACATGCTTCCATTAAAGCTAAAAAAAAAACACCAAATTCTTTTAGAAATTTTTGATTTTTCAAAAATTTATATTCTTACCTGTATGTAATTCATCGGTTTTATTTCCATTTTCTAAGAAACACAATAGTTTTCTTTCAAAAAGAAAAACAATTAAAACAAATTGATCTTACTATCTTTTGATTGATTATTAGTACCAGCACCATGATCAAGTAAAATTTGAGTAACTTCTACATGTCCACCACCTGCTGCCTCCATCTGAAACAAAACCAAAATTTATATGAAAAAGAATTTGAAAAAAAAATTTTACCAAAGGTGTATGACCATTTTCATTTGTTTCTTCAACTTTTGCACCATGTTTAAGTAAAAGTCGAACAATATCGACATAACCCTTTACGAAAAATAAAATGAAGCTTTCTTTTTTCTTTTTTTCCTTTTCTCTTACTCCTCCAGCTGCATAATGTAATGCCGTATTTCCAGATGTTGATTGTATATTTACATTTGCTTTATTTTTTATTAAAAGTTCAACGATATCATAATGACCAGCATTACAAGCTTAATTAACAAAAACAAAAAAAAGATTAAGAAAAAATAGTTTCAAAACTTTTAGTTTAATAAATCAAACCTTCCATTAATGGTGTACAATCTTGTTTATTTCCTCTATCATCAACAGCAATATCAGGTATAGTACGTAATATAAGTTCAACTAAATCTGTATAACCATTTGAACAAGCTAATGATAATATACTATCACCATCTTCATTAATATCATTTAAATATTCTTTTATATTTTTAGTTTGAAGAATTTTTTCAACTGTATGAAGATCATTATTTACACATGCACGAAGAAGTACACCGGAATCTTTATTAATTAATTTTGATTTTTTTTCATTTTGTAATGATGTTGTTGTTGATGATGATATTGCCGTTGTTGTGGGTGATGATGATGATAAAACATTTGCTATTTCATGTAAACCATTAAAATTATTTGTTACACTACTAGTTAATAATCGTACAACTTGTTGATCACGCCAAAAATCTTCTGGTATAGGAGAATTAGTTATACCAGTTGCTTCTAGAATAGCTGCTAATTTTGCTTGTGTATCAGGATCAATAGGACCAATATCTATATCATCATTATTATTATTTAATGATAAATGTGAATGAGAAATAAATGGTGATGAAATTTCATCATCTTCATCAGCATCTTCGTCTTCATCACTTGTTTCATCCTAGAAGACAAAATAAAAATTATATATATACATATAAATTTTTTTTAAATATCAACTTCAATATCTTCTTCGTCGTCTGTAAGCATTCTATGATTATGATGTGGATAACGTGTTAAACCAACAGAGATTATTGAAACGTCAGTTAAATCAGTTGATAAATCTTGTTTTGAATTATGCTTTAATGTTTGATCAGTGATCGAGGATGTTCGAGAAGTACTTTTCATATGGAAAAATTCAATTGTTCATGCTAAAATTTATAAAAGAAAAAAAAATACGTATTCAATAATTTTAATACTGATTATTTAGACGATCTCATGGTGTGAGAAAGAGAGAAAACAGAAAGATATAAAAAAAAATACAACAGGAAATAGATATACATAGGGATGAGATATAAACATAAATAGAAACGAACGATAGAGGGTACGCAACGTAGAGTAACATCAATAATACTGGACAACGACATGGTATACTATGGATTGGGAATGGCTTGTTTTCTACCATTGCCATATTATTATTACCCGAAAATTGACCATACAGATTTGATTATGACTTGATAGTTAAATTTGATAAATTTAATAAATTAGATTACGTTCAGATTTCTCGTTGAGAAGGATAAATTTGAAAAATAAAAGCAAAAAATTTTAGATAGGTGTCACTCATCATCAGTGCATACAAAACTACACAAGATGAATGCATCAAGATGAACAGACTTCGCATTTATCGATCATTTTCAGTTCTGTCCAAGAGAACTTTTATAAATTTCCGATGTATTTTCATTCATTTTTGTATTTGAGATATTCAATAGATTTTATTTTTCCGTGAAAAAAGATGGTAAAAAAAAGTAAATGAACATTCTTCCTGATTTCAAGTTCATGGGAAATCATGTTTTTTTGAAATAGAAAAATACGAAAGGTGAAATAAGAAATATGAATACAAAATATTCTTCAATAGGAATCTATACCGTAAATAATCGCAAAAAGCTTATTTATTTTCACAAGGATGCATTTTCAATTGCCATTGTGTGGCTTTATTTTTACAGATATTAGTTCCATATTAATTCTAATCTTTAGCTTAGGAGTCTAAAGAATTATGTCGTGTAAAAATTTCGATGTTTTCTTTAGTATATTTTATCAGTATATCTACCAGTGAAATTGAACTTAATGTAGAAAATGAAGCGAAAAGAACCTGTGTTTCAGGGTTTTCCAACTTTTTTTTTGGCACTTTGTGGTTCTTGAAGAGGTTATAACCAATACGCAGGAATTTTAACGTCAGATAGAGCACTTAGAATAAGGAAACATTTGTTCGAAGAAAAATATTGTCAATCAGGTTTTCGAAGTTTTTTCCAGAAAACTCATGTTTTCGATAGGACTATATCAGGCTCGTTTACAACAGATACTTGGAAGTGTTCTCTAGAGCTGAAATTTGTCGTTTTTATTTTTGATCTTCTTATCTGAATCTATAAAACCTTGAACGCCAGCAACCCAGTTTTAGATCCGAGTCTTTAGATATTTCTTTCATAGAAAAACACGGATACCAGGTTTTAAAAAGAAACTCAAGTTCATTTCTGAGACATAGTCCAAGCTATCTGCAAAACAATTTTTAAATCCGATCGAACTAAGTTATACAGGAGTCTTAAGCGGGTTCGATGTGGTCCTATAATAAAACCAGAGTTTTCCTGAAAAAACTAAAAATCTTGTTTAAATTTATTTTTCCTCGAACATTTATCTGCTTATTTTTAGGTGCTCTATCTTTCATAAAATTTCCATGCAGATCCATTGTAACGTCTTCCAAAACCAGAAATGACCAACAAGAGAGGGGGCATCCATCAACGTCATAGTTTGCATACACTCAAATCTATTTCAAGAAAACATGGTTCGATTATTTAAACATACTTGTAATAATGAAAAATACGTTGTTGTTGTCAAATATATAAGTTGTTAGGCCTCATGAATCAGGTGATTTTGTTGGTTCAGCAATGATCCTTCAACAGTTTATACAAAGAGCCAATCGAATAGGCGTTCATCATCTACTGAATCATTTTTCTTTTTTTTTTGTACCATAAGGATTATCATTTATTATGATATTTAAAAGTGTTAGACAGAGATTTATTGTTCTATTCGACTATTCAAAACTTTGAAAATTCGATTATCATTGCCCAATCCTTTCGTTTGTACTTCATTTTTTACAATGTGTCAGTTAAACAAAAAAGATAATGACTTGTCTCGCGTTTTACTAGATCCTATTATTTCACACCTTCAACTGTTTTATCATTAGAGAAGACAAAGCTTATCAATCTTGTCTTGACATTGAATACGAACAATTTCATTTTTGTCTTCATGTTGAATCATTCAAAATTGATATTGATATCAATTGCAAATAAAAAAATTGTTTCATATGTTACTACATCAATTACCGATATTCTAACAATATTCTTTAAACAATTATGCATCAATCAAGATCTTCATTGAAATAAAAATCACGATAATTCTTATCTAAAATCCTTATTTCATTGATAAATTGTATCAAGAAGACACTGCAGATTTTAAAAGTCTAAAATCCTCAAACAAACGTTTCTTTTTTCTTTCTTATTTGTATCTTCACGTTTCGAAAAGATGAAGCAAGACACTCGCACACATACTTGAATATATGTTTGTAGAAGAACGAACAATACACGTATCAACGTTCGCAGTTAAACACTCATGTGCCAACACGAAAAAAAAAATAGAAAAAGTAATCTTTCTTCTCTTCCTATGCCTCACTTATTCATTTCAAAAGTATTGAAAAAAAAATAAAAGAAAGCCTTCTTCTAAGTCATTTTTCTTTTCAACATTTTAGCAAAGACAACACATTTCGTTTTCATGAAAACAACTACAAGCGAATTCAACGAAAAAACATCTCTTTTTACAACATTAACTGGTAAGAAAAAGAAACATGTGTTGTTGTTTTTTTTATAATTACTGTATTCTATTTATTTAATAAATTAGAAAAAGATGATGATGATAAATTGAGTGTCTTCGATCTACAAAAAACAATTGAATGTTGTGAAAATAAATCTAATGATAGTATATGTCCAATTTTAACATTACCTGACATAATTCAAGCATTAAATACAATAGAAATTCACCAAAATTTATCTCGAAAAAGAACAAGGTCTTCTGATAGTGATTCATCAGCAATGTTACACGAACAAAGTAAATGAGATTTTTTTCAAATTAATGATAGAATTAAACATTTTACTTTTCACAATGGAAAATATTGATTTCAGTAAAACTGAGACCATTACTGATAAGATTATATTGTTTTTGTATAAGCATAAAGTATAAAGTAAATATTTAACATATGTTAAGATAGTTTATATGGATAACTAAATATACCTGGGAAATAAAATTTTAATGTTTGTGACTGATAAGAATCAAAATTAATAAAAAATAATCATATCTTATGCCGTTTGGCTTTTATCTTTACCGACTGGATGATAATTATTTTTTATCACACATGAAAACGTGAATTTTCTCTGAAGTTTCGACGAAAAGTCTTTCTTTTCAGCTATAGAAATCTTTTTTTATCAAGTTTAAAACAAATTTATTTTCTTATTCTTGAACAGAAATTCAATCAACTATTGAATATAATTGTTGTCGTCTCGTTCGTCCCGATCAATCCTCTCGCTTATTATTACCATTAGCACGTCGTGGTCGACCACATATATCATCACGATCTCCACGATTCTTATGTGAAAATTGTTTAAAAATTAAAGGACAACAACAAAATGCTATTCTTCAAAAAAAACAAAAAATTCATCATCACGATGAAACAAATTCAATGAATATATTTGATACAATAACAGATTTAGATAAAACAATTGAACAAGAAAATAAACATCAAATGATGATAGAAGATTTTCCACATGAAATTGAATTTTCCTTAATAAATGATGATGAAAATATTCATACAAATCATTCAGAATATGAATCAGCTCAAATGCTTGTTTGGAAAATTAATACACCAGATAATCATAATCAAACAAATACAATTGATGCGTCTTATGACACTGGTTCATTAACAAATAATGAAAAAAAAAATTTACTTCAAGAAGCTATACAAAAGTTACAAATTGTACTAAGCAATCGTTCAACGGCAGCAACAACAACGATACCAGATATTGATTTAGATAAAATTGAATTTACTTATCGGGCTTTACAAACAACAGTTAATATTCTTTCATCATCACTTGATTCACTATGAAATCGAATGAACTTAGTGAAAGGCAAAAAACAAACAAGCAAGTAACGCTGATAATCATTATGGAAAAAAAAAATTTATTGATGTAAAAAGAGACTAAATGAGAGAAAAATAAAAAGAAAATCTCATTACGTAGTAGTGGAAAAGAAAATTACAGTACAATGTTTTATTTTATGTTTATTTAAAATAACACCATTCTTTTTTTGTAAACAGGACATATATAAAAACCTAGATCACGATATATGAATATATTCATTGCTTAGTTTTGCTATCTAATGGTTGAACTATTTTTGACAAGATAACGAATGTCTAGAGCGAACAGGATACAGTAAAAGATCTACTGTGAATGAATAACAATATAATATCAACTTTTTTATTCTATATATCTTCTAAATTCGTTTTCTTTTACTACAGTTCAATATTACACCATTCTTTATAAATATAAATCAGACAAGTCAATGATTTTTTTTTCCTTTATATCTTCAGGCATACAAGAAAAGCAAACTGAGATCGTTTAATTAATTTCACTTGAATAATTTTCTTATTTTTCAAGATTATTTAGCTAAAGTTTTTATCTCCAAAGTAATTACCTTTCAGATGATCAATATAAATAGTTTTCGTGTAATAGTTTATCTTAAATTTATTTCTGAATAAACAAAATTCTAAAAAATAAAAAAGCACTAAAAGTCAACGTATATTGCATGATTAATAAAACGACAATAATAACAAAGAAAATATAGTTATATAAATTGATGAATATTGTATTTGACCGGCATCAAATACATTTTGAAGTAAATATGCTGCTGATGAATCGTGCTGCCTTGGTAATCGATGCAATTCTTCTTCTTAATAAATTATTCGATTTATTATATAAATTACTGATCTTTTTTTTTTAATGTAAACTTACTTGTATGTCGTCTGACTAATATAGTAGCTTCTTTTTCATCATATTTACATGTAAAATTAGCTTGAATAAAATTTTTATGTTTTTTAGTTAAATAAACAGTAAGACGTTGTGTATTCAATGATATTATTTCAATATCATAATCATAAATATCATTATTTAATAATTCTCCATTAATAAGCCAATAGAAATTATTTATATTTATTTCTACATTACATAATAATGAACATGTTATTGAAAATGTTCGATTAACCGGATAGAGAAGTAAAGGTGATGATGGTGATATATATAGATGAGCTAATATTCAAAAATAAAACACAGAACCGCAAACATCAAACTTTCATTTAAAAAAAGAACTACATACATTCAACAAATAATTTAATACTACTATGTTGACCACTTGAACTGGATTTACATGTATAAATTCCTTGATCTTCAAGTGAAATATTACTTATTAATAAACGTGATATTGATGACGATGATGATATAAGATTAAAACGACCTATTGTTGCATATTCTGGAAAAAGAATATCACCAATAGCAATAAAGCTTAAATGTGATTGTGATGAATTTGGACGAAACCATGAAATCTATTTCATAAAGAAAATATTAAATTTTATTTGAATAAAATCTTGTTTTTTTGTGCTTCTTTAAAAATATACCACATCATCAGATTTTTTTTTCGAGCTTATTGGACATGTTAGTTCAATATCAGCTCCACATGTAACATGCATTCTTGAACCATTAACTATAAGATAAAAAAAAAATAAATTATGATTATGATTATATTTCCCTTTAGAATTTAATTTCAACTTACTTGTAAATGATAACGATAGTAATATGATCGAATATATAATGACTAAATCAAAAAATTTTTCAAATAATGAATTGATATTGATGTTCGACATTATTATTGATGAGAATCTGCCACATTGCGTCTGAAATAATACATATACAATACACTAGAGAGCTTGTATTGTCTCGGGCGTGATTAACTTTTTAGTATAGTGTAGACGTCATTTAAATTGCTCTTTCTTTCTTTTCTTTTTTTATTCTCTCTGTCTCTCTCCTTCTGTGTCTCTCTGGTTGCTACACAAACACATACACACGCCCCTGTTCAAATTTCGATTTTGTCGTCGTCGTTTGATCGCTTTCTTCTCTCAATCAAAATCTCATTTGTTATTTGGCTACTACATAGTATACGAGACGATGATGTTAACCCTGATATCGAATTAGTCCGCCTTGGTCAAGTGAGCGTATAGACATGCATAGATTTTTATTCACCTACTGATTTGATTATGTTCATATCGATAAGTCATTTTAACAGACTATTGTAATATTGAAAAAAAAAAGACAAAAGACAAGAAAAATACTTATGCAATTCTCACACATACATATTTTGAACAATTCTTTACTCTTTTTTTTTCTGTTCCGTCTTATAATGATTAGACAATTAATTGATGTGTATATATAAATGAATGTTTACACGAAATTTGATTCTGTGTTACTTTTGCCATATGTCAACAACAGAAAAAGATAGAACAACTGTTCAGTCTGTCTCATCTTTACATATATATATTCTCTCATGGACTCAAAGAGCAGACAACGGATCGACTAAAAATAAAAGAAAATAATAACGAGTCAATTCTTTTGTCACTATTAGTATTTGAACGTTTTATTAGGCAAAACGAGTAGACTAACACCTCATATAAAGACAAAAGATTCTTTAATAAGACAAGTCAGAATGAACGAAAGAAAGAAAAAAAAAACAATTATTCTTATATTATTCCAGTTAAATTAATGATGACAAAGAAAATGAGGACATCTAGTTAGATCAATATAAATGATGATGAATGACATATGGTTTTGCAACGATATGAAAAGAATAGGATTTTGTTTCATATGATGTCTGAACATTATACACGTGTTCATCTCAAATGTATATATATATATATATGTGCTCTTGAATTCACTAACAGCATTCGTGATGCAATACATACATATAAATAAGTAAAGCCAAAGACATGATCAATCATCACTCATGTAAAATGGACTTTTCTTTTTGCTCTTCTCTATATGTTTCTCTTCATTTTTTTTACAACTCAAATCAAATGTTTGAGTATGACGACCAATGTATGCAATCATTGCAGCAGATTTCCTTTCACAAAAACAAAACCTTAATATATGTCATTTCTAATCGATGTTCAATCGAATGGTGTTGTATTCATACATACTTGCATAATAAGTAACAGCTCGCTCTTGTCTTTTCTTTTTACTCACATACGTGCATACATATATATATATGAAATAAAAAGAAGAGTCAAATTCAATTCATATCATCAAGAGCAATTATCGTGCTCAATCAATTCAATTGTTCATCATCGATTGACTTCTATCGGTTTTTTTATTCTCTCCTTGCCTGTCTGTCAGTCACGGTAATGCGCATAAATACAGATCAGACAATCGTTGATAAATATGTATGAAAACGAAAAGTGTCAAGTTATCTTTTGTCACCAAAAAGAAAAAAAGGAAAATCACTTACGTCGAAGAAATAAAATATAAGTTGTTACTTTTGCAACCTTCACATCAACATTTGTTAAGTACTGCCTATGTCGTTTCCGGTTGTAACCACTCGACGGATAGAAAAAAAATATAGATATAGATATAGAGATGCGTATCCTGTATGTTGATGGTTCTATAACATTTTTGTTAGAGTCAGTTCGAAGGACATTTTGATGATGGCGTGCTGTTGTAGCTATCTAGCCGGCGGAGAGCTCAAACAACAAAAAGGAAGAAGAAGAAGAAGGGCGTTGTGGACTCGTTCAGTCGAATTATGAGAGATGATGAGCAAGAAAATGGACGCGCATGTCTCTAGTTCTCGATTATGCGTCAAGAGACAGAGAAAGAGAGAAAGAAAGAGAGAGAGAAGGCGAAAAAAAAGTGCGTGAGAGAGAACAATGTCTTTTCTCTTTCTGTGAAACTTACAATGAAGGTAATTCACACGTTCTCAAAGCCATTTTTTCCTTTTTCTTGGTTAACTCAACTCACCGCAAATATGATCGCATTCACCTGAATGAACTAAAAGTCTTTTAACGAAAGACGGAAATCAAGAAACTTCCGCTAAGGAGTGACGGTTATCTGCGTTGTTTCAATTGTAAAAAAAAATCAAAATCACTTTCTGCCTAACTTTTTTTCTTATTTTATTCTTCTCTTCTCACCTTATAGAAACGAAGTGTTAGAATGTTTGTTCAATCAATTGAAGAATAATAGAAACAAGTGGTTTCGAGCATAAAAATTTATAAACACTAAATTGTTCAGTTTGAAAGAAAGACAAAAAAAGACTTAAAAGAATCCAGTGAGATGGAATTGCAAACATATGATATAAATCTAAAAGAATCACTTGCATCAAATGCTGAATGGTTTCATGAAAAATTAGCGCAAGTAGGTGTTATTTATTGTAACTTTTCATTAAGATATTGATCGCATGACTCGCTCTTCTCAATGATTAATCTTGCTCACATTAGGAGGGATTACTGGTGAGGATGGATGAGTCGCTATGAAGAATGCCTGCCCGCCCCTGTTCCTAGAACACTACAGTCATGTCACGACATGATGCCTATTATGGTACGCTTACCTTTCTATGATGTAATGTAAGATACTGATGATTTCCTTGTTGCTATTGCTGTTACTGTTACCCACATGTGAATGTGTATGTATGTTGTTTTCTCTTAAGGCTTGATAAGAGAAAAAAAATAACGAAAGAATTTGGTCATATAAACTCATTACTTAATTGATAATAACGATGTGAACAATATATATGGCAAAATTCTAATCATCATATTATTGGTTAAGGACAATGTCGAACACATGTTTAATTTGTCTTTTTTTTTTTTGTCTACTTATTTGATTTTAACTAGATCTGATATAAAGATAGAATAATTTTAGGTTGAAATTAAATTATATCATGGACATACAAAATCGATTAAAACATGTCAATTGATTGAAAATAAAAATTGGATTCTAACAGGATCAAATGATAATACAGCTCGTTTGTAGAATTTCAATAATGGACAAGAAATTCATAAATATGAACTAAATCATAATATGGCAGATGTATCAGCAGTCAGAATCAATCATGATACAACTCGGTATAATCAATTATAAAAATTATATAATAAATCAATTAATCAATTTCTATTATAGTTTATATTCATCTAGTTGGGATAAGACTATTCGTTGTTTTGATATAGAAACTGGGAAACAAGTTGTATGTTAGAAGTTTGTTTTTTTTGTTGGTTCAAGTTAAAACTTATTTATTTCTTTTTATATTGAAGTGGAAAGTTATTCAAGAACATCTGATAACATGTTGTCAAATATCACATGATGGTTATAGTTTATGTTCAGGTTCTGACATCGATGGTATTATTACTATATGGGATACAAAAAATGGTCTTGTAAAAAGTACTATTCGTAATGTACATGAATCAACTATAACAAGTTGTCAATTTAATATTACTGATGATCGAATCGTATCTACATCCTCAGATAAAACAACAAAGTTTTTTGATCTTATTTCTCATCGTCATACAATGACATTAAGGTATAGAAAAAAGAAAAGATATATCTAGATTGGCTCACTTGTTATTCGATGATGCAAGACAAGAAAACAGTACAATATATTGAATGATCGATCAATCGATCTTATTACAACATAACTATCAATGATATAGTTAGTAGAGAGAATTTGTTAACGAACTAATTGATCTTTGCCTATGTGATGTAACTGAATATGTTTACAAAAAATAGCTGACATCAAAAAGTTAACTTGTCTGATTTAATGAACTAAACAAATCGTGTCAGGATCAAAAGACAGGATGTATGGATATTTATTACAAATGTTTCTATGAAAAATATAACCTTGAGACAAAAAAAAAGTTTTCGATTAATGAATACTATATATAGAGTTCTATTTATTTTGTAACTTATTACCATGATTAAAAAAGAAAGAAATCGTGTGGATAAAATTTTTTTGTTTTTAATTATAGAGATCATAAAAGTGTTGTATCCAACTGTACATTTAATCAGTATGAACATTTATATGCAACATGTTCATGGGATAAAACGATTCTTCTTTATGATATTACAACAGGGCGTTTTCGGTAAGACAATTAGCTTTTGCCATTCATTGAACAAGAAAAAAAACTCTGTTGGTGTTCAAATTAATGAGTTGACCTTTTCCTATGTTCACTCCTCCTTTTTCCGCACTTCTTTTATTTTTATATGTTGGACATATCAACTGTTCAACAAACCATGTATATATATTTATATATATATAGACATGAAGGACCGTTAATGTTACCTAAATTACATAAAGGATCGATTGCTACATGTCACATGTCAAATGATGGGAAAGTTCTTGTCACTGGAGGTTATGATTTAAGAGTAATACTTTGGGATATTGAGAATATGACATATAAACTTATATTACGTGTAAGAAAGGTTAATTATTGTTATATTTTTTTGTTAAAAAAAAAGATTTAATTTGAATAGGGACATCGAGATTGGGTGAATGATGTATGTTTAACAAGTGATAATAAATGGATTGTTTCAGTATCAAATGTAAGTTATAGATAAAAACAAAGTTTTGGTAGCGGTTATTTTTATTTTGTGTGCTTATTAAGGATTGTGATATTCGATTATGGTATATTGCAAATTGTGATGAAATAAAACAAGACACAGAAAAAAGGAAAAAATTTCAAAATATCAAAATTACAAATGTAAAGTTTTATCATATTTCTTTTTTTTTGTATTTCTACATATAAATATATCTTTAATTTAGTGTTTCAAATGTGGAAAAACATTTTCAATAGATAAATTAAAATATAATAATTTATCAGAAACTTTTGTATGTGTTTTCTGTCATCGAGAACTACATATTTCTTAATCAAATTTCTTAATGAAATATTTATTAAGATTAAAAATTATTTGTCTTTATGTATTAAAAAAAAAATAAAAAATATCTTTTACTTACGATGTATTTCTTCTAACTATTAATAGTTTTCAATATGAAACAACTAGAAGCGTTATATTAATATTTAGTAGAGACATAAAGAATGATAGCTAATAATTTTTATTCGGCTCACGGAAGTATTCCTCTTTCATCAAATAGATTATATATATCGAAAAGAAAATCTTTTTGAAAGTTTCATATTCCAAATTAATATTGTTTTTCTTTCCGGTTTTCAATTTGAGATAGTTTTTGTTCTTTAACCGGATGTTAAAAGATAATCTTCTTTTCACGATGACAATTCATAGTACTGAATAAAAATAAAGAATGAATTTTTGTTAAAACGTGATATACTTTGATTATGAAAATATTTTGCTTAATTAAATTTTGATTTGGAAAAAATCTAAGCTAGATCAATGAAATAGACTATAATAGTCAGAAGTATAAATTATGAAGGGAGGCATGATGTTCTTCGTTTGCTGCTTAAATTAATTCATACGATATTCTTGTCAGAGTTATAGCAGGCCGAGAATTTTCAAACTGCTTCGTTCCGTACGGTTTGTTGGATCATTATTAATCGATTCATGGAAACAGCTTCAAAAAGCATTCATTTTCCTTTCTATTGTCAGGGTTTTATAAATCTCCAGGAAAAAAATGATCTTATATTTGTTTATATCTGCTAGGTTTCTCTCAAAGATAGATATGTGATATTCAGTGGCGGATCTAAGATTTTTTTAAATACTGTATCTCAGCTGCAGAGCATGGGACCTACATGAAACTTATGGACGGTAATATTGAACCCAAATGATGAGTTTTTATAAAACAAGAATTTGTGATCGGAGTTTGCGAAAAGTTTTTTTTTTGCAACCGCCACGCGCCTAATCTTTTTGACTTTTAGTATTATTCCGTTTTTTAGAATTTAATTGTAATCCACATCGAATTTCATCGACAGATTTCGAATTTTATCTAAAAACATACATCCGTTCAGAAGAGATAACGTTTTCAATTTTTGCGACAGTTTTGACATGTTTCCCAAAAATTCAAAAAGCTATAGTTCTTGAATGGATGCATGTTTTTAGATGAAATTCGACATAGATTGCAATCAAATTCTAACAAATGGAATATCACTAAAAACAAAAAAAGATTACAGGATGACGGGTGAAAAAAAATATTCGCAAACTCCGATTACAAAAACCTTTTTTTCTTTATAAAAATTCATCCTTTGAGTTCAATATCACCATCTATAAGCTTCATCTAGATCCCAACTTCTGTAGCTGAGATTCAGCATAAAAATAATCTTGGATCTGCAACTGCTGATATTTTTCTATAAAGCTCAAAAAAAAATTAGTCACTTATCCATCAACTAATTGCTACATTCAGAATCTTGAATTTTTTCATTCAGCCTTTTCAGACAAATTCAAGGTTTCTCTCCAAATCATGATCCAGATCTGAGTTTGATTTTTACAAAAAAATATGTAGCTCAAATAACACAGTTTTGATTGTGTTGTTTTCAAATAAGAAATATGCTTCGATGTTAGAAATAGAGCAGTGAGAATGAACAGAAGAAAATAAAACTAATAGTTCTTGACACAACACTATTTGATTATTTTGATAAGCGAAAGTAAAATTTGTTCTCAACAAGTTTTATCAGAGAAAAATTTCATATCTATTAAATATTATTCAATCAGTGAAGATCGATTACACCTCTAATTCCCCTTCTTGATTTAACAATTTGTTCACGCAGCACAAAACCGATAGCAACGTGAACATTTATTTAGAAAATGAAAGTGATGCATTTTGTATGATTTGAATAATGTCTAATGTAACTTTGGTCAATGGCCAACTTTTTAATTTGAAAAAAATTACTCTAGCTCTTAAGGATTTAGAAAAATCCTAGGGCGTACAAATGACCAGGTTTCCATCATCTTAGAGGAAAGTATTTTTTGTAAAGAAAGTAGAAAGGCTCAGCGAATAAATCGTAGAACTGTTACTCTTTCATTCTATGTGAAAAACTCGGTTCTAATAGTTTTCCTTGTTGGCGAAAGTATGCATGCTTCCTTAAACAAGATATTTCTAAAAAGACATGTTTAGTGTAGTCGACGCGTACATTTTAGCACAACTCCAAACAAGATGAAACTTTCATAGAATATTTTTCTCGACGTCACATGAAATTTTTCTAAATTCTCTTAGCTCAGAAGTATTTTAACGGAAAAATAAGCACGTATTTGGAATCAACACGAAAAAATTACATAGAATAATGTGCCATTTGTTAATTTTTAAAATAAAAAAGTTTTCCCATGAAAATTTAGGGTAAGGATTTTGCCGTAAATTTTCCATCGGAAATGTTCTTCTATGACCAATTTCACTTTTTCTCCATAAATCTTTTTACTAAATACTGTAAATTAATATTTGTATGAAATAAATACGGTTTTGACAGAAAATAAGCCATAGTCGCATACTCTATAAAAATTGTCTACTATACATTGCTTCTTTTTCAGGAATTCAACCACTCTAAGTGCACGTGTCTTGCTGAACTACGCCTCTGATAACAATGAATGGAATGAGAAGGCAAAAAAAACTCATCAATTTTAGCTCACATCCTTGAAACTCATCACGATAGCATCTAACCATAAATTCATAAAGATAGATTTTGTTGCTATCATTCATCAAAATATAATTATGTCATTGGTTCGGTTCAGTCTAATGCAATGTTTCGATGAATTGTCTCGTTAATAAACCTAACCAATCAAATGGTTTGTAAGTCCTGTGTTAAGTGCTGTAAACATGATAATATGAAACAAAAAGAAAAAAAAGCCTTGAGCATAGCATTGACACAAATTAATTATGCACGGCAAATATAACTATCATCTCAAACATTGAATTAACTCTATGTTGTATAGTTTCATTATTTTGATGAGGACAAAAAAAGAACACAACTCACGTAGTAATAACAGCTTTAAGTAAAAACTTACATTTCTGTAATATTAGACTCTGTTCATTCTAGAAGAACAAAAAAGTTTTCCGTATCCCAATTTGATGAAAATGATTTGATAAGAGAACTATTTTTTTGTTTTCTGTTTTGAAAGAATTCAATCGTTCAACTGACTTCTATGAAATAACAAGCTTTTGATAATTCAATGTAAAATCTCAAATTATTTGCTTGAAAACTTTCCGTGTGCATGATGTGAGCTTTTTTCATCTTCTTTTTTAGACATCCGACGGCATCAGTCACGCAAATGCATATTGTGCGCATATTAAAGAAGAAGAAGAGTCAGCAGATATGCTTGCTATTCTTCTCATTTTTTTCCTTATTTACTGACTAGTAAGTTTGCTTTCTTCTTTTTTTTGATTCATCATTACGATGATGAAAGTAGATGCCTCTCAACCATCGTCTATGGCGGATGGAAATAATGCTTTTAATATTGAACAAGATCACCATAGAAATAAAAGTTATTTTAAAGAATTACGACAAAGTTTTGATTTGATTTATTTAAAACATAAATGGTTTGATGAAAAATGTAAATATCTGATTTTTCTTTTATTTGCTCTATGTTTAAGTTATTTTTCAAAATTTATTTAGATTGGAAATTAGCTTTTTGTTCATCATCATTTAATTTTATTAATAAATATCCAAATATTTTTCTTTTATATCGAACAGTGTTATTTGTTATAACGATATTTGATCTTATTCATGGTATAGTTATTATGCGTCCTGTACATGAATGGGCAATTTATTATACACATCTAACATTATTCATAACTTTCCTTGCAATTGTATTTCAATTTTTAATAACTTATCGTGGAAATTTTTATCGTGGAAATGATATTGTTCCACGTCACTCTCTACAATATATTCATATAGTTTTAATTTTAATATCATTAGGATCTGGTCTTATTGTTAGTCTTGTTTATTGGTCAATCATGTATAAGCCGTCAACACGATCATATTATCCAAAAATAGTTTTTGATCATGGAATTTTATGGTTTTTTTTATTTATTGACGTATTTCTTTTTACACGTTTACCTATTTATATGATTGATTGTATACCAATTATAGCTTTTTCTATTATTTATGGAATATTTACTCTTACAATTTTTATTTTTAAATCAAAATTTAGTAATAATCGAATTGGATATGTTTATCGAGCATTTAATTTAAACGATTCCCCAACACGTGTGTTAATTCAAATGTTTTTATTTATATTTATTGTACCAATTATAATAATGTTTATTTTATGGAATATATTTCGTTTACGTCGCTCAATTCATGTAAAAATAAAAAATGAAAGAGATGAATCAGAATTAACGGTTGATGGTTAAAATGAAAAAAATAACAAATATTAGTTCCTGTTGAAAACTTCTCATTATATTGACCATTTATGATCTTTAAATAAAACAAAAAGACTTTTTAAGTTAAAATAAATATATAAATTTAAACACATACAACAATAAATATACAGAATTATGCAGTTTTTCTTATCAGATGAATTAATCTGTAATTGTTTATTCGGAAACGGTACTTTGAAATGGGAACTGATATTCTTTCATTGTTTTAACGAACAGAAACCAATTTATACGAAGTAATTGATCTGGGCATAAAGATAATCATAACAAGATTTCATTATATGAGTTTAGATCATGGATATCAAGATTTTAAAAATTTGATGTTTTATTGGCAGATGCCACAAGCAATCTTAAATATCTGATTTTAATTAACAATTATGAGAATATGAAAGAAAAAAATAGTTACAGAAAAAAATACCAATTTCATTCCCGCACATCTAAACTAAAATTATTCCTAATTGAGACAAATTATGCATCAATGTAATAGATGTTGTGATTCTGCTTGCACTTCCTCTACGTGTCTATTTCACATGAATATCTTCCGTCATTATCCTAAAACATTCAAACAATTATTTCGTTTCAATTTTAAGTCGTAGCAAATATTTGACTATGATCATAATGATCGCGAAGATTTAACAATTATTATTATAGAAAGTCTGTTTAAAAGAAAAAACAAACCTTGATAATTTTTTAATATAAAGGTTTCAAAATATTGAATCTGAAAATTTCCATTATGATAATACTAATGGATATATAAAGAATTTATGCTGATGATCAATTTTGATCCTATTAATTTCTTTTACCTTAAAAGTATTTAAAAGATAAAAATAAATTGAAAAGGTAATACTTGAAAATACATTTTAAGCTTCATCATGCTACTGTAGTTTTATTTCAACAACTATTCTTTTCACAATATACATCGAGTATACAAAAGTCGTTCACGGAATAACGAAATTCAATTTTCACTAAAAACAATGATTGCAAAAGAAAAGAAGAGAAAAAGGATCTTAGATAGCTCAAATTAATCTTAATAAAAACAATGTTGAGATAGATTGCTAATAATCTTTTGATTATCTTACCTGTTAAATTACGATTTGTAATTAGATGACATATAATTCTTTTGATGTTTTAATCTCATTAAACTTGCATGTTGTGAAAAAAATAATGTTTCAGATAAGCGAACACAAGTATATAATATTAGAATATCTTATTATCAATAATGTTCAAACATGTGTACTTTAGTCGAAATCACTACCACAAAAGGTCGGTCCATATTAATATACGATAGTTATTCATACACCAGAGATCGTCAAACCGACTTAAAAATTACTACGATTATGAAAACAATAAAAAATTTAATTTTTATTATCGCATATTTTACATGTAAGTTCGCTACTAACGTCACACATGGGATTATGTTTAAACGTTCTGATGTTCAAACAAGAAATTGTAATTGTGATTCAAATAACATATCACTATGAAAGTTCTATGAGAATATCTTCAAGCATGTAAAGAATATACAAGAGTTAACTGATACTGTTTTGTTTTATCACAATATCTATTACAGTTACCCGATCAAGCGCGTGTACGTTTCCGACCATTAGATTAGAAGATCTTGATAAAACAAATGAATACTTGGAACGTTGTATGTATCTATATGATAATCAATATGAATTCTTCTTCTTATACTTTATATACACGTCTAAATATTCCAGTCTATGATTTTGACAATAAAATAAAAATTATTGTGTCTTTTATTTTTTTTTCCTTTTTTAATTGTTTATCGAAGTGAAAATTAAGTTTTGGTATTGCATGGCTATCTTCTAGGACTCCATATACATCATATTAAAAAAAGGAATCGACTCTCATCAAACTGGAAACAGCTGATTTTATGACGCTGACCGTCGGAATAAAGGAGAAAAGTTACGGGTACGTTACCAGTTAACGAATAATTGGGTAACAGGAAATATGTAAATCAGATTCTTTCGTTAGGAAATATCTATCGAAAGAAAATTGCGATTTTATTATGAAATTTGATTAAAGGTTTTCGGAATGCGAATCTGTAATCAGTTTCTCTATCAAGTCTCCTAACATAGCTCTTTGCTGCACATCAAGAAATCAAGTGAACTATTTCGAAAAACCGATTACAAATTTAGATTTCACAAGCATTTGATAAAGCTTTATAAGTGTCAGGTATTTCGAAGAGTAAGTTGCCCATGATAAACTCACAAATTTTCTATTACTGGGTAACTGGTGACGTAACAGTAACTACCAACTTTAATATTGACCAATATGACTTAGCTGAAATGGTTTTCTGTATAAGATCATCCATATTTTCTTTTAGACACGAAGGGCTAAAAATTGAGCAAAAGGTACTTTCACCCCTAGAGTGTTATAAGTGTCGATTGGGGAGAGCTGGAGAAAGAAACTTACTATGACCCGGCTTCTCCGACAACAGACGGCCGGTAGTCAGGCCATTCTTCCCTCGAAGTCTGTCCAAATTCCAATCACCTCGTAACGACAGGGTGTGCTTATGTTTATGTCACGTTTTGCTGTTCGAGAAAGGTAAATAGGGTTTACAATCTGGTTTCTGTCCAAAGTTACTGAGAAGCTGTAAAAAATTGCCAAAAGATGTTAAGAATTTTAATCGAAAGTCGAACATTTAAGAGAAGGAAGAAGCTCCATATATCCCTATAAACAAGAATCTTGCTTCTGCATCACTCAAACGAAAACAAAAAAGTGATTTGAGATCCTACCAAAGAATTAGCTAAGAAAAGTCAGTTGATTCCAATACGACAAAATCAGCTTTTTCCCCTTTTGATTTTCGTTCTTCTTACGCGAAAAAGTTTTTTTTATGCATACTTTGAATTATTTTCTATAAAATAAATAAACTATTATTAATTTTCTATCAATCCTTTTCATAAATTTATTATTACGTTATTTTAAAATTAAAAAAATCGATCACGAAGTACATTTTTATACAAAAATGCATAACTAATTTGCATTGTTGCATTAAATTATCTTTAACAATATTCATCCTCAACTATATTCTTCATTGCATTTTGAAGCATAACCATATTGATAGGAAGATTTGTTGATGATTTTGATATCGGTTGAGTACCATCAATAATTTTTAACTGTTGAAATTGATTTTCTAAACCTAAAAGAGAAATTCGATTGATTTCTTTTGTTTTGTTTAAATCAATTTATAGAGAATACTTTTTGTTTGTTTTCGAACTTGTTTAAGTTTATTATATGCTTCATAAATTTTCATAAATTTTTCTAAATTAATTTTTTGTTGAACTAAATTTGCATGATAATCAGATTCAAAATGTTCAATCATTAAATATTCATTTGCAAATATTTCTAAACATACTTTACATGAATATTTTGCATCATTTTCACAAATTTGTTTCCATACAGATAACTTTTGATTATGTATATTATTATTTGATTGAAAATGTAAATCTACATTATTTTCACCATGTAATAATAATTGACATATTTCACAATAAGGTTTATAACCACGTGGATGAGTCCATTCAAGTAAAATACGCATTGTTTCACGACTTATTATAAATGATGTTGATGCAAAAGATAAATCTTCAGAAATATTATCATTTTTTGTTGTAAATGATGGACGAGTATTTATTGCTGGAATTGATGGACTCGTATTTGTTGATATAACTGATTGATCAGAAGATTTTTGAGATTCATTCAATTTTGCTTTTCTTATATGTTTAACACTATTTAAATGTTGTTCATAGGGTGCTTTACCAGTACAGGGAATATCGCAAATTTTACAAAAATAATCAGCTGACATCTAAAGAAAATAAGTTGTAGGAGAATTTCATCAACGAATTATCACATATGAAATCGAAAGAATCTTGAACATATTTTTAATGGATAAAAGTCTATTACTGGTAAAGATTAATTCCATAGTTTCTTTTTCTTTTTATTTGAAAGATCAACAATTTTGGTTTGATTAAAAATAAATGTAGCATTTTTTAGTATCAAAAAAGAATATAAGAAGTTTCGTCTATGTTTTGCTTTAATGTATATTGTTATTATGAAGTTTAAATCATTCATATATCTCACTTCTGCTTTATTTCAACATTCATTTTGATATACTCTTACAACAGGAAAATGTAGTCATGTCAAATCTAATGGCTGTGAACATCATGAAACAGTCTTATACCATAATTTTACCGATTATCAAGGTTTTTGTTGCGATAGGAACAAATCGTGTTCACAAGTATGCCCGTTAGTTGGTCTTCAAAAACATGTCGAACGAACGCTAATAATTGCAGTAGTGAGACATGTCAAGGATTTTCACTCAATAATAACAATATACATTAAAAGAAAATATGGACAAAATGCCTCAAATTCTTTTATGACACTGAAAAATGATGTATATTTTAAAATCAAAACCAAAAGTGCTATATTCTCAAGCATACCTATGGATTTTGTCTTAAGGAATACAAGATTAAAACTCTTGTCATTCAAAAAGAGAAAAAGCTATGAAAGTAATCTAGATCAATGATGCGCTTTTATACATATCAAATGTGATCATGATTTTTATGACATTCTGTATATTAGACCAGAACATTCGTCAGAAATGTATAATAAAAAAACCAAAAATCTCCTAAAGATAATGATAGTAGAAATTTCGTTCATTGAATTTCTTTTTTCAAATTTATTATTATAAGAAGGTTAAATAAATAAAGTTACAAATAATTGCTAATTAACCAAATGGTTGAAATAAAATTTTCATTAAGAAAAGAATCTTAATAATATTTATCTAAGAAATATATATAATCGAAGGACAAAATAAAGACAAAATCTATTGCTCTCAAACGGCACATCAGAAGACAAGAAGGTTGTAAAGATTTGTTTGTTTCATTCGTTTATCCTTGTCTGTCTATCTATCTGTCTGGATTTCTTCAACCTTCATATGACTGTAATATATTAATCGATAACTAATGAATAAACTGTGTCATAACCTTCAGCCATTCAAGGAATCGAAATAAGTTTTTTTTTTCTTCTTTTCCCAACACAAAACGCTTTCTATTATTTTTATTCGTCAAAAGAAACTTCAAATAATATAATAAATAACAATATAGTTTTTATGATCGACATCTATTCACAAAAGTCAGATGTCAGTCATGTTTTGACTTTTTTCTTCATTTCTATTTTGTAGATGTTGAATAAGTGCAAGACCAAATTCTTCTCCAATCTTTCGAACATAATCACTTTGGTAAACTTGATTAATATGTTCTTGTTCAAGACTTTTTATACCTTTCATTCCACCGATAATTGCGCCAATCATTGCTGCATTACTATCTGTATCACCACCTATTTCAGTAGCATGTATTAATGTATTGAAATTTGGTTCACATGTTGATGAACATGCAATAAGACCAATTATCATAGTTAAACTATTAACACAATAATAAGTACCACCATCACTAATATCAATAATTGATTTTTCATCGATTTGAGATGATAAATTTAATTCTATATAACGTTTAATTCGTAAACTTATAAGATATTTATCATCCTTTAATGCATATTTATTTTCATATTTAAGACTTAATTGATAAACATATTCAAGAAAATCATTTGATGTTAGATTTTTCTGTTTGAATAAATAAATACACATATGAACATATGTACATGCTGTAGATAATGCCACTGAAGTATTATGTGTCATACGACATATTATTTCAAGTTCATGATCATCAGCATTGTCACATAAACTATAGTAGAAAGCAAGTGGTGCTAATTTCATTAGAACACCATTTCCTTCTGCTTGATTACCACTATCAAGATAAGTATGAGTGCCATTAGATAACCGTTCAATTGCAGTTTTTGTTCCACCCCAACCAGCAATAGATTCTTTCCATTCAATTATATGTTCATTAACTATAGTTAACATAAAATCTTCCTTTGATTGAAGATATTTTGTTATTGCTCTCATCATTGCTAATGTTAATTGTGTATCATCTGTCCATCGTCCTATTTGCCAATCGTTTGGTATATATGGATGATTAGTTACACGAGTATATAAAGTTTTTTCATCTTTATTTTGTAAATCAATTATTTGTTGACGTGTTAATGTTTCATATGCAATACCTTTTGCATCACCAATTGCTGTACCAAGTGCTATACCAATTGATCGTTCAAGAATTTCATTTGAATTCATTTTTAGTTCGAAGTATATCAGAAATTTTATCTACATAGATAAAATAATATTTGCATATAATAAACATTTAACTTTTGTATCATTCTTCTAATGACATACAAGCATTTTTGTGTTCTTGATTCTAATCAACATTTTTAGAAAGTTTTTAAAAAATTCTCAAAAAAAAATAACCATAAGTATATTTGAATATTATATTAGTTAATTATTTTATTTAACTGATGTAATAGTTTATCATAACATTATGAATCTTTCCTATAAAAGTGAAAAAAAAACATTTCGTTCAAGGTCTTTCGCCAACATAAACCTTGTATACATGAAGAGGAGTGTTTCAAATAGTTATTTATAAAATCAATTTTCTTAAAAATTTTTTTGGTTTTTATTTTTTATAGAAGTAATAAAAATAAAATATAATTTATAATAATTATTACTAACTTCTGAATTTTTGATTTACATCAATTTCTTCTTGTATTTTATAAGAATCACTATTTAAGCATTAAGGGATAAATATTTCTATTAAAAATAAAATAAAATAAAACCAGTAAACTTATTATTTTTTCTTCTTTTTCCTCTCTTCAAGCCCTCTCTCTTTTTAATGGCATTGTATGCGTACAAGGTTTTTTGATCGTTCTTTAGTGCATGAGTACATGATGTTTTTGCTTTTAGTTTCTTCACTACTTGTTCTTTCTTATCCAAGGTCTAAATAACAACATATATGATGAGAGTAATAACAACAACAACAAAAGAGTTCTCTTATTTCTATCATCGGTTCGTACTTATTGAAAAAACAAAAAGTAAAAAACAAAATAATATATGCATTCGGTCGCAGAGGAAAACGCAAAAAAAAAGAGAATAAGAATAACGGATGTTTTTGAAGTTTTCTCTGTCAACAAGTAAGACAATCATAAAAAACACCAGCGTATGTGTGTATGTAAAGCAAAAACACGACTTCACCTTCACCGACGAAGATGAGAAAGAGAGAGAAAGAGAAAGAGAAAGAGAGAGAAAGGAGAAGAGAGAGGACGGAAAACAAGAACGCGCGGAAAACAAAAATGACAGAAAGAGAGAGAGAACAACTTGTTTTTGCTTAGCTAACAGAATGCACTCGGTTTCTGATTAAGATTATTTATTTGTTGTGGTAACTAAATTCATATAAGTTCGCGTTCGTTTATACGGTGTTTATGGGCGATTTTGACATTGTAAAAAAAGAAAAATGACATCTAATTGTGTGATCTTTCAGCTTGTATATTTATGTAAGTATATAAATGTAATGTGACCGATCGTCTAACTTTAATAATGTGCACAATTCATAGAACCTTGAGACATATGAGCTTATCGACTATTGTCACAATTGTGATACACGTATATACATCAAGAGGTTATCATATCGTGCCAAGGTCATACAGTTTCCAGTGTGACGTATACAGAGGTGTGTATCCTTCATTTAGTTCTTTCCTTCATCTGTGTTTCTAGCATTCAAGGCCATCAAAGCTTATTTTTACATAGCTTTCTTCTCATTTCTCTTCTCTTCTCTTTTCTCAGTCCCATTGATTCATGGGCATCGACCGAGCGAAAAAGAAAGCAAAAGCGCCTTTATTTTGTCCTTCTCTTCTTTCTCGTTTTTTTTGAGGGGGCTCGTTGTGCTCTGATGTTACTGCTAACAGTGTGTAATTGTGAAAAAGGAAAAAAACGATAGATAGAGAGAATGCGACAAATTAACATAAACTACTGTTTTTATGATTTTCAGATATATATATATACATAAATATATATAAAGATATATTTCAATGCCATCGTCACATCAATTTAAACAACACCATCTATGTTGATTAAATATCATCTATTTAAATTATATTAAAGTGATATATATATACATAAATATCATTTTCGTGTTTTCTTTTGTGTTTTTTCGTATTTGAAAATTAATCTCAATATTGAGACATATTTATTCAAGGTAATTCGAAAATAGATCGATGAATTTAACAAATGATTCTGGTGAATATGATAATGATAAAAATACATCAAGTGATGAAGATGAAGATAATAATAAAACATTTGATAATCCACCATCAATACTTATAGAAAATTTTCTTTCTGATAATAATGATAATGAAGAAATCGATAGTTGTGTTATTGATGATGATGATGACGATGGTGATGATGATGATGATGATTATGATGATGATGATGATGGAAGTGATATTGAAAATCATTTTTATTCAAAAAAACAAATACCAACACAAAATCGTCTTTGTTCATTATTACGGCAATCAAATCGTCTTGTTGAATTAAAATTAAATATATTTCATAAACGTTTACTAAATAATCAAAATCAATCATTACGACATGCACTTTCGGATAGTGATATGTCTAAACGATCTTATCATTATCAAAATAATCAACAAGAACAAGATCAACAACAATCAACACTTGTTCCCTCATTATCATCAAATCATTTTTATTTTCCAACTAATCGTTCACATCGTCTTTATTTACCCTCATCATATCTATACGAGTTACAAACACAGATAACTAATTGGTTACAAGCAAGTACATATCTAATTGATTCAATATCAACATCAACCTATCATCGACGATGTTGGTCTCAACTTTTATTAACATATTTTATTGAAAGAGGTTATATTAATCTCGAATTTATTCGTTGTACACATTCAGTATCATTACTAACAGTTGAACAAGATTCATGTTCAGTACATAAACATGGATGTGTACCGGAAGAAGATGCATATAAATTATGTTCAATATTACAAAAAGGTTCACGGTTTACTATAAATTCAATTATATTTGATCATATACGTCGTATTATTGTTATAAAAAGTTTACAAGAAGGTAAAAAGAAAATAATAAATAAACATAGATTTCTTATTCTTTTATGTTTTATTTAGTGCCTAATGATAATTCAAATTTACAACAGATCTATGTTAAACAATTAAAAGGTCTTAAACAATCTTTAATGCATCAACAATCATCCGTAATGAATATAAATAATAATAATCGAATAATTAGTGTTGCATCAATATATTCAAAACTTCTTTTATTTTTATCAAGTCTTTATTCAATTAAAGCCGAAACGATGCAAATACTTTTTTGTCAACATCTTCTACACAATCCGACCTATTCCTATCTTGTTAGTTCATGATTCTAATTTTTCTTTTTCTTTTTTTTGTATGTGTGTGTACGCGTGCGTTTGTGTGTATTGTGTATCCCGGTTGATGATTTATATGTATATATAAGTCATCGTCTCGATCAGATCATATAAACATGTGTGTGAGTGCGCGTGTGTGTGTGTGCAGCTGAACGGTGAATGAATTTAAGACGGACAAATAATATGTTCTTTTATTTTATTATTTTCTAAAGGATTTATTAATTATGATGATTATATGTTTCAATTTCGATATTCCTTTCAGCTATATGAATTGGTACTTGTGTACCATCGATTTTATATAATATAGCAGTTAGCCTCGTTGAATATGATTTATCATCTTGATTAAGAACTTTTTCAAAACAATATTCAACAAAATCATTTTGATTAATAATATATCGGTTGTTGATTATTCATTTACATTCCGACTTTGATGATTGATTTAAATGAGAATTGATATGATCGTTAAGTGTAGGTTTTTATATATCATTCCATATATCACTGATAATTTGTTGATTGATAATTATTGAATCATAATGAGTGGAAATGATATCTGCTTGATTTTGTCGTCGTTGTCGAATAAGACTTTGTACAAGTTTTGATACAAATAGAACTTTGGCAGATTTAAAAGCATTAAAAACAATATAAATAAATTTTTTATGAATGTATGCATGTTTTTTCGATATTCAAAGTTCGCAAAAAATGAAAAAGATATAATAGAATAAGGTCGAAATCATTCGTGGATAGAAAAATCAAGCTTTTTAATTGAGAACAGATGCACTATAGAAAAAAAAAGAGCATTAAATTTGTTATAAGCTTTATATTCAAATTTATTAATCTTGAATGGAGAACTCTGCCATCCAAGTATAAAACTACTGCTGCTGTTTTGATTAAATTCAAATAACGTTTTTTTGTTAGATATTTCTTTTAATTTACATTCATCATAAATTGCATCTGATTAAAACTCCATGTAAAAAAAGCTTCCATGATATAAATGAACATAACAATTTGATCAAGAAGAAAGAAAAAATGAAGTTTGTTACTAACTTCATTTATTCTTTTTAGTTAAGAATTTTCTGTTTAATTAATAATTAGAACCTGTTGAAAAAAGATCATTTAAAGTTAACTGGCCATAACCATAGCACAGCTTTAGCTTATGACGAAATCTCTCCAAATGGCAAATTGCTTTTCGATCGAGATGATATTCATTCGATTAATAATGGAAGAGCCTAGAATGGTTTGATTTTTCGGACCTTCACTCTTGAGATATCGAAATTTTATTGGGTTTTTCAAAAAAAAAAGTTGTAATTTTCCTTAGATCATATGAAAAAATCAACTTTAGAGTTTCGATCTCAAATTTTGCCCAAACAAAGTTCTAAACGAGATTAGTGGATTGAGCAAGCCTTAGATTTTCTAGTACCTTCTATCCTGAGATATTCAATATTTGACATTCTCTCATATGTAAAAATAAATTCTGTTCATATATTGACATCTTCAGGAAAGAAATACTAGTTGCACAATCAACTAACCTAGTTGAGAACTGTATTTCTGCAAAGTTTAAAATCGAAACTCAAAAGTCGATTGTCTATGTGACCTGAAGGACATCACACATTTATGTTCGAAAAGTTTTGTCAAATTTCGATATCTCAAAATTGAGGGTCAGGAAAATCAAACCATTCTAGACGTCTCAAGCACTCATTAATTGAACCTAGTCTTGGTCGAAAAGCGATTTCACATCTGGAGAGGTTCTCTCGTTAGCAACAAATTTTATATATATCTTATTACCAGACGCATTTTTACAGAAGCTTTTTTGTTTTGTCAATCTTAAACTAAATGTTTTAATTGATTTGTAGATTTAATAACGTATAAAACAAAAAGCATCGATTTGTGAGAACTCTTATGTGATAGACATATGAATTTAAGCTAGTGTTTTATAAAAATGCATACAATGTCTTGACAAAAAAATAATAAATTCGTATTTTCAAAGTCGTTATTTTACTTAATATGATTCTAATTTTTTGTCCGAAAAACGACAACTTATTGATTTGATTCTATTCAGTTTCATTCAAAAATCTTTGTTGTGTATTTATTTAGAAAAATCTACCGAATGGAAAAGGTCAATAATAACTGTATGAATACAACATGACATTATCAATCAAACAAATATTTTAAAAAAGTATTTTTGATATACTATGATTGATTTCGCATCAAAATACTCGTATCTAATATTATAAAATTTACAATTGGTATTTAATTATAATGAGTAACCTTTGTTCACTTTGATTCAAAATACAAGAATATATTATGTTTCGTCATCAGACAAAGAACCTTGTAATATAAAAAGTTAGTTGAAAATACTTCAGTTTTACGAAAGATGGTATGATACTATTTTTTCACTGTTCTGTATCATCAAAATTAAACTTATCATAAATACAAACTTTTTTTTCTTATCATTGAAAAGATAGCATACCTTGATATAAATAAAAAAAACCTCGTGAACTATAATTAAAAAGATATATTCACCTCATGTTTTGGATCATCAATTGAATAACTTCGATCAATTATATAAAAGATTCAGTAAAAAAGGACGTGACATTGTGTTATGAGTAAAAAAAATGTATTTCATATGATCAAACGGTTATCATATTCTCATGCCTGAGTGATTCGACACACCTTAGAGATACGAAAGTAGCACATGGCGATGTATTTTTTTATATGCACTTCGTTGTTTTATCGTTACGTGGTAATTTAGATAAATTCAAAAAAAGAAAAGATAGATTGAATATCGGCAATTATGATTACTTTTCGATGAATGTATACTTTGAAATGATTTATTTCATTTGTAGATATTATTAACAAAATTATGACGAGCTCGCCTATTAATAAGATAAATGTTGATCAATGGATTAAAGAAAACGAAACACAATTTCTGCCTCCTGTTTGCAATAAATTATTGTAAATGACAATAAATCTAAACAGTATAGATTTATTTATATGTTTTTTATTTATTGTAGACATAATAATCAATTGACAATAATGTTTGTTGGTGGACCAAACATTCGTAAAGATTATCATTTAGAAGAAGGCGAAGAAGTATTATTTATTAAAAAAGAAATTAATCAATTAATTATTTGTATTTTCCTTTTTTTTTTTGATAGCTTTTCTATCAGATAAAAGGTGATATGTGTTTAAAAGTTCTTGAACAAAATCAACATCGTGATATCATTATTAAAGAAGGAGAAGTAAAAATTTCCTTTGAAATCAAATATCTAATACTTATGAAGTGTATATTTTAGATCTTTCTTTTACCATCACATATACCTCATTCACCGAATCGTTTTGAAAACACTGTTGGCTTTGTTATGGAAAGAAAACGAGAAGAACATGAATTGGATTGTATAAGGTATTTAAATCTAAAAAGAAAATGACAAAACTATGATTTAGAAATTTTATTGTGTCAGATATTATCAAGGTCACTCAACAGATCGTTTATATGAAAGATGGTTTCATACAACAGATCTTGGTACACAATTACGTCCGATTATAAAAGAGTATGTTATAAAATTCAAATGAGAAACCTTTTATTGACTAAATGAGTAGTATATTGTTAACCTAATACGGTATTATAGACAATAATTATACGAATTCATACATCCGTATATATTGAAAGATAATGTTGGATTACTTTCGATATAGATAGAAGAATAATTTATTGCTAGAAAAAAAAAAACATTTAAAAAAATCCTATTGATAATCAATCTATCTCAATCGTTTTAATAAAATTTCATCGCAAATTTACTTTAATCACAGCCTTTATACTTATTAGCCTCATTTCTTCGCACATACTTTTGTGTCAAGGTCAGCACTCTGTGATAAATGTAATAAAAGTGCATTTATTTCAATATTTCTAATCAGTTCATGAATGCTTATTTTTATTTGAATATATTATTTCCTTAAATTTCCATTAAACTACATATCATTATTTGAACAAAGTCAATCATCAACTTGATTATTACGAAGATGAGTTTTATCTGTCTTATAACAGGAAGTATCCGGAAATTTAAATCAAGCTCATTTTTTTTCTTTGTTAGCCATTCATCATTATTGATTTTGCCATGGAATACGAAGAATCTTATTTAATATAAATCATCATATTATCCGAAATGAGAACGGATATAATTCTTCATAAAAAAATGACACATCAATATTTTTATTTTTATTTTGTTTAAAGGTTTTTTGAATCTGAAGAATATCGTACTGGTGAACCAAAAGCGGGTAGAATGTTAACAAATAATTATTATTGAGATAGTTTAGAAAAATTTGTTTTAGATAGTTATCTTGAAAATCCACCCGTAAAAAATAATGAAAAAACTAAATTAGCTAACCCATTTTCATTAGATGAATGGATTGAGAAGCATAAAGAAGAATTTGCACATGGTAAATCAATAAGTTTGTTTCCAGATGAATTTCAAACAAGATTATATATTATGCCAAAAGGTCAACATTTAATTAATTGTTCTAATGGTGATGTTTGGTTATGGCAACATGTTAGTAATTATTTTTAATTAGAAAATGAATTCTTTTTTTTTTTAATTTAAATAGAAAGGACATTCAACGGCTAAAATAACTAGTGATAATAAGGAAGAATCAATTGTAGATTTAGAACAAATGGATTCTGTTTATCTGCATGTTCACTGGACGTAAGTAGTAGTTATTTTTGGTTTTCTTTGTTGTCTTCGTTTATATAAAAAAAAATTGTGATTATTATTGATGCGGAAAAATTCGAAATGACATTTAATTTACAAAGCTTGCAAGCTTATTTGAATAGATCAAATAATAATTAATCTAATCAATGTGAACAACTGTGTTAATGTTCTTATTGTTGTTTTATAATTGAGAAATTATAGTATTCCATTAGAATAAGAGAATTTTCTTTATTTCTTAATTCTATTTTATTTATTTATTTATTTTCGTGTCTATAAATGACACAATAAATATGTACACAGTATAAATCAGACAATGATTTTTAAAACATATACATATTTTGTTTGTCTGAAATTTATCATTTATATGAAGATAAATTTTTTGCATATTATAAAGGACAAATTCTATAGAATTGATTATAGAAAAAGAGAAAAGACATTAGTTCGAAATTAAAACTATAATATTACTTTATGGAAATAATTTTTGTCGAGTTCGAAGAATAAACTTTTCTGTAATGGATCCATTAATAGTATAATTATCTTGACGAGTTGTTGCTAATGTTGCTGTTGTTGTTGTTACTGACGTATTCATTCGTGTTATGATATGTACTAGTTGATGTGCACCAACTTTTGTACGTACAAGTTCATCAATTTTTGGTGCCATTTTAAGTGTTAATGTTACAATAGCTGCACATAACAAGATAATTAAAAGTCCAACAATACTAACAATTCGTGCAATAATACGTTTTTTACGATCAGCAGCTGCTAATAAACGTTGCTGTTTAAGTTCAAATAAATTGGTTGGCGTTCGATCAATAATTGAACCAATTGATGTTGTAAAATTAGTATTCGATTTTCTAGAAGCTTGCTGTTGGTGTTGTTGATAATTAGGCTGTTTAACAATAAGATATTGAAGAAAAGCATCACGTTCTTCAGTATCATCATCAAAATTTTCAGTTATTTGTCGTGATGAATTTCTTATAGATAATGGATAGGATTGCGCAGGTGTGGGAGTAGTAATATTAGCAGTTGACATCAATCGATGAACAACAACAATAACATTGATAGTTGAAATAACATCAGCGTATTTGTTGTTTAGTTAGTACATTTGCATAATCAATTTATGAGATCGACACGATGTGATGCGATGCGATGCGATAACAAATAAGAGACAGCCTAGAAAACAAACTGTAAGAATGCAGAATGACAATGTCAACACCGTTAAAAACGAGAAAAAATGATCTTAATTGATTATTCTCTCCATGGTCGTCCTTTTTTTTCTTTCCTATCTTATTTTCAAACTAATACATACTACAATCTATCATTATATTTCAATGACATATTTGGAATCATATATGATCATTATTCTAATATATTTTTCAATCTCGAATATTTATATGTGTCGTTATGACTTTGGTTACTACATTATAATCATATGAAAACTTATGCATTTAAAAGAAAATATTTTTCGAGTGATATTAATACATGATTAGTTATTAAGAAATAGATACAAACTGATAAAAACCTATTTGTATAAGAATAGTTGAACAGTATTTGATTGTTACTTACAAAATATGGAATATCCGTGTGATTTATGTATCTCAAGTTCTAGAAATATTCCATGGCGAAAAACTAACAATCGAATAAAGCATACTGTGATAATGACAATGCATATTTATTCAATTAGAGCTTTTGTTGACCATAATATAAGTAGAGCGGTAAATTAGTAAATGTAACAACTAGAAACTGAATTGGAAAAGTTATAATAAGATTTGAGACTAACATGCAATATACTACATCAACTGTCATGCTTGTTTCGTATTGTCATTGTTTAGTAAATCATCTTACATACGTTTTTTCCATTTTCTTCGTTGTTCTCTTTTTTCTTAGTTTTTTTTCTTCTTTTATTTTTATAATTGGTGCTCTCTTGCTCCCTTGTCAATAAGCTGTGATGCAGTTGTTGTCGAAAAATGAAGAGAAAAAAGGACGAGATAGAGAGAACAATGCTCGCCCGAAACGGTTCAAACTTTCTTTAGTTGCTTTACATCGTTTCTTGTCTACAACATCACTCTGAGTGCTGTCACACGTTGGTATCATTTGACAAGAAATAAGGGAAAAAAAAAGAAAGAAATGTAGAAAGAAGACGTTGTTTATTTTCTTTCTCTGTCTTCTTTTTTTTTGCTTAATATTCTATGAGAGGTTTCACTTTTTTTCTCTTCTAGAAAGAAGAAGAAGGACGGAAATCCCCATCTATTCTTTCTTTTTGTTTCTTATTTTCTTTCATTTTTTTTTCAAATGTTCATATGTCACTACCATCCATGTATACCTTTTGGTTTTCTAGGATCTATTTGAAAAGAGAGAACAAAAAAAATAAAACAGAATAAGTAAGCATGAAACAGCAATGAAACACATAAATTGGAAAGCATTTGTGCGTGAGCACTCTTGCATATTTACACATTAAATGAGTAATGATGTTGCACGAGCATGGAATTTATAAAGGATCGATTGTCATTGGAGATTCTACAATCATTTGTTTTTTCTTTTCTCGATAAAAAAAGATGACAGACTAATGTCAAAAACTATTAGGAAAGAGAAAGAAAAACGAAGTAGAATACTAAGTGGATCTACTTAGGAATAAAATAATCAACAAAAAGTCAACTGAAATATCGTCGGTCATTAGTACATTGAAATGAACAAATAATATACATATAGAAAAATCAAAAAAAGATTCCCAATGTTTATTTTCTCAAATAAGAAATTATTATTATTATTATTATTATCATGAAAATGTAAACTATATGATAGTCGATGGTAAACTAATAATAAAAAAAAGAGACATGAAGATAATGAAAGAGGATGTATGTTTTGTCGAGTAACTCATACGAAACAGTTGACAAAAATGCATTGAGACATGCAAAGAAAATCGCTAATGTATGTTTTATGTAGAAAGATAAGAGAAAAAAAAACTAAATAGAAAGTAATGCTGAATGTTTTACGTAGCGAGATAAGATGATTGATAAAGAGACAAACACAGTATATATCCTTTTGGGATTTGTTATTCTTATATAAGAAAAGATTGAATCATGCATCACTTTTTTTTCCTTTCTTTTTCCATGAGATGAGAACTATTATTATTGTTAACGATCGAACAATCAATGAATTCTTATTTTACTTAATAAAAATGTTTTATCTGTCTTATTTTTTGGGGCATATACTATTGAACAAACAGGAAAAGGAAATTCATTTCAATGTGTCGAATGCATACATCCATGCTTTTTCCGTTGTTGTTAAATTCCAACACTATACACGCGCTATTCGTATTTCTATGCGCTTATGTATGTCTGAAGATAATCAAGAACTAGAAAGATACAATTAATAATTGTTGTCCTTGTCATCTTGTATCATCAACTATGCCCTTGAGAATGTGAAAAAGAACGAAAAAAAAGAAAGAGGAAAATGATCAAATACAAGCAAATCAGGTTCATTTGGAAAAAGAAGAGAATATTTTAATCAAGCCAAAGTGAATAGTATTAAACCAATAATAGAAAGAAAAACCTTAAAAAACAAGGAAAAGGAAATGAAAGAATAACTCATCATCGATGTATAATAATAAATGAAGATCGAAAGAATTGATTGTTCTTAGAAAATGACATTAGATATGGTATCGTTTTCTACTTTAAGTTTCGTTTTATGGTTTTTTTTCTTATCAATAGAATTTCATATATCGTAACAATATACACTTTTTTTAATGTACATGTTCTACAAATATAATATATTAAAAATTCTTTTCTCTTCATGTTTCAGAAAACAAAATAAGAAAAGATATTTAAAAAAAAATCTATCTATTGTTTTACGCAATGAATAAATAATATTTATCTATTTTTAGGTGTCAGTTGGATGTTGACATTAATGGATTTGTTTTGGCCATTAGTCAGGATCCGACACGAAAAAAAGCATAAATATTAACAGAACAACGAAAAAAAACGTTTTTCTTCTCTTTTTATATCTTCTCTTTTTATATTTTCATATTCTTAATAAAACTTAAATAATTATTGATTGAAATATTCTTTACCTTTAACAATAAAAATTCAATCATAATTGAATCAATCAAAACATGGCAAAAATCCATGCTTAATAAAGTATATCATATTGGCTTACGACTAAGTAAGTATACACACTAATCAAAGCATAAACAAATACATAACAGTACTAATACTAGGCAGGATGTAGTATATGACTGATAATCATATTCGCATATGTTTTATATTAGGATTATGAACCAAGTTTGTTCCTGGAATATATGTACCTAGAAAATTAATATTTACAAAGAATAATTTTGTTCTTTATTTGTAGAAGCACTTTTTTCTAAACATAATATTTTTATCTTCTAATGAAAATTATGAATAGATCTGATGATACTTTATTTAAAATGTCAATCATGCAAAAAAATATATATTCCTATTACATCTTATATAGAAAAGCTACATTTATAATTTTCCGTCTTATTTGGTACATGCATTCCTCATCAATTGTTTTTCTTCTAGGATGAATCGATGTGGAGCACAGCATAATTTCACTCTTCTCTTTTGTACTAGGGGCAAAGCAAATGTACTGCCAGAGATATTTCAATATCATATGGAAAGATCGAAGAAACCTTCTTTCTTTATGCACTAATACTAAAAATAGTGGTCTATAATTTTCTAATATTTCATTATTTTTCAATCAATATTATACTAATAAAATTTCGATAAGAGATATTTATTATGATATATGATGATAAATATCAATGTTTTTTCAAAAAAAAGAGGTTGTTGAATAGGTTTTGAATTACGCAGAGAAGTATAATTTTTAGCTTTACAAAAATGAGATGAAACCACATCGAATCGTAAATTATGGAGTGTTATTCTAATGTTTTCTCGAGTTTTTAATCTAATTTCTACAAAAAAAACAATGTAAGAAAAGACTTCTTTTCATTAAAAGAAAAAAACGCGAAGTGTTTTTTTTTTTATAAACAGAAATTCTTAGAGAAAATCTACTTCAAATTTCAAGTTAAACACTTGTAACCTCTGAATAATTGAAAGCAAATCTCTGCGTTTTTTCAAATTTTGTAGACCTTCAATTAACGATTCGAATGCGCACCTAATTGTTGCAACTTTCACAAAAAAAACAAATGCTGTGTTTTTCGATTCAATACGTTGTCATTATTTCTTGATGAAATTACAAAGTCACATGTCTCTATGTTGTTGCTATTAACAGTAATTCAAAATATACTCATCAGCCTTTTTTTTTTGTACTTTGAAAGATCATGTATGTTGTCGTCACATGTCATAACAAGAGGTTCTTATCGAAATTTCATTGCTATGATGTTGATTGAAAAATGAGGAAATAATTAGAGAAGCATAAAACACTATTTCTGGTATCAGTACATATAGAAAATGGCTTCTTCGACCATTCTATATAGTGTTGGAATATCTCCGCCTCTCTATTTACTATGCCTTAAATAACAATCAACGATGATGAATAGAAAGTTTATGCAAGAAATGTGCTTTTCTTATATGAAACAATTGAATATCTTTTTAAGAATTTATATTGTTAAATGATTGAAACTCAAATGCAAAATCTGCATTTAACTAATGTCTGAATTCATTAAAAGGTTTGAACTTCATATTATGCTTGTGAGTAGGGTGCATGTAAAGCAGAAGAAGCTCAAGAAGATTTGAAATCATATTGTCGTTTGACTGGAAGATAGAACTTTTCTGTGCATTTCTCTATAGGGCTTTAATTTCCAGGCAAAACATTGTTTTACTGGAAAAACAAAGTCTCGTGCCACATTTTCAAGAAAACTTTTCGCTTCTGTCGATGCATGACAGGATTCATATCCTCAACAGTTTTTTTTATGATATATAAGACATCTATATATGAGGGAAATATGGAGCTAGCAACTATGAATCACTTCGAACGGTTCACTCGTTAGACAAAACAAAGAGAGAGATAGTATGTGCTTACGCTAACACATTGGTAAGGCTTTAACTTTTT